TACAAAACAAAACATGAAGAAGCATGAACATTATTTCATATCCACTGCAAAGCCAAACAGGTGCAAAGGAGTTTTATATTTGAATAAGACATTGAAATTGTCAAATTCAGCATATTTTGTGAGGTATACTAATCAAATTAAGCCTGAATATTGCAGTGTCACAACGCTGTCAGAACTCCAGATTTCATTTGGATCAATTAATACTTTGGCATTGTTCAAATTCAATTTTGATTATATGTCACTGCTTGCAGAACTTTGTTAATTAATTCTGATGGTTTTGATGCTAGAAACCTGGATTCAGTGTTGACACTGACAGCCCCAAGCCCCAAGCTGATGGTTTTGATGAATACAGCATTGTCGACTTTTGAAACCATGTATTTCTGTGGTACTTTCTATCTTGGGCTGTGCTTGTTACGTGGGAAGGTTTTTTGATGATGAAGGTTGTTTCTGGTGTTTTGTTTTTTTCTCATTGTCTTGGTTCAGCACTGAGGAGATCTTGACATTTATCACGGCCTGATATTTGTGCAGGTCCACAGCACTTCACTGCTACAGCGTTTGAATTAAATGCTTGAGTGAAAAAATGGCCTGTTTCATGCAACATTGCTGATAAATTTGTTTAGGCATTGCTAATGAATTTTTATACCAGCATTACTCTGCCCTAGGGATTGGATCGGACAGAAGAATTTTACATATTGGATGGAAATATATTCTGGATGAGCAATGAATATTGGGTTCCTTCAAAGATAGATAAGGTCATGTCAAAGATGTCAAAAGTGTTAAAATCCTCTCCATCCGTTGCCTGTTCCGATCTCCCCTATTACAGGAAGTAGGATCTGGTTCTGCTGAGTGTTTATTGCAGTGAGTCGTGAATGTCGCTTCAGTTTGCTCCTAAATTATTACTTCTTCTGGTTTGTATTATTGATGCCTATATGGATCACATAGGCTTTTTGAACATATTGAAAACAAGTTGTGCTTGAGACTCTTGCAAACAGTCTATGAAAAGAGTACATTTCATGAGTGAACACATTCCCTCCTATTGTTTTTTTTTCTGATCTTGTTATCTTGCTTTGATTTAAGGGCAAATCAGAAACTTCTCTCCCATAAGTCTCAGCTCTGTACAAGAAAACATTTTACCTGCTCCTCTGTCATGATGTTTCAACTTGTTGCAAATATGCATCCCAGATTAATTCTGAAGAAGTCATATCGGACTTGAAACATTAACTCTGTCTTCCCTCTCCACAGATGCCGCCAGACTTGCTGAGTTTCTCCAGCATTCTCAGTGATTGTCTCAGATTTCCAGAATCCACAGTATTTTATTTTTATCAATCTAATTCTAGTTGGCCAAATATACATACAATGTTTATTTCAATCTTCAAGTGTTCGAGGCAGGATTTCTATTTGTGAAACCAGTTGTTCTCTTGTAAGAATTGCTTGATTTTCACTGATTAAATGTTAAAGCCACAGAATTTATATGAACTGATTGTTGTAGCACCCAGATGAGTTTCTGGGGCGATCTACAGATTCATACTTTGAAGCATGGTGAAAGTAGGTGATTAATCCTCATGGTTCCATTATGAGTTCAAATTACTTCCCAGGAGATGCTGCCCGTTAATTAGCTATTTGATAAGATTCTACCCTGATTATAATCATTCAGCTAAACCATTCCAGTCTCTTTCTGTTGATATTTCTCATATAACCAAGTGGCCTTCTGCTCAGTATACATACATTCAAATTTTTGCATGAGTAGAATTGTGAATCTTATGGGCCGGGATGGGCCAAAGGTTTTGCCCTCGCCGATGCCTTCCAGAATGGAATTCCAGGTGCCATATTTAAAGGTACCCAGACTGGTATTCTCCTATTCTAAGCAAGAAGGATTACACAGTCTTTGTTGGTGTCCCCCTGTCCACCACCAGAGACATCTCACAGCAAGAGGAAACTGGCCCCATAGATCAGTGAAGCTTTGCTAGAAGTCCTGTGACAGGCCATTGAGGAAAGGCAGAAGATCCCCTTCCCAGAGATGGCAGCAGGAGTCCTCCCATATGATCAGGACAGCCCATCAACACAGGTTGGCACCTGTGAGCAGCACAAGACAGCCTGAATCAAGTTCAGGAAGACGATTATCAACCTCCTGCATTCCAAAAAGGTGGGTGTTACTCTCTGCATCTGACAATCATTGGGTCATCATAGTCTAACTATGCCAGTGCAGAGACATGTCAGCTTGAACAGTCGCATGCAAGCCTCAACATCACATGGAACATGTATGTGAATGCGTAGCTATCAATATCCTACCATTTGCTAGATTGTGCAAGTCTTAATCACTTACTGGGGAGGCCTCAGGACCTGACATGGCTAGGCATGACCACGAAATGCTCATATACCAACAAGCTGGCAGTAGGGTAGAACAATCCAGCTGGAGCTCCTCTGCTCTGCCCGTTCATTTTCTTTTTACTGTCTTTTATTTGCTCCTTTCTAAGTTTTCTTTCCAACTAATGACTTGGACTCACCTGGAGGGTATTGGAGTTGCTGGTGAGCCCCAGAGGTGAATCCTAGAGCAGAGGCTGGCACAAGGATGCAGTTCCAGAGTGGAGGCTGGCACAGGGAAGCAGTCTCGGGCAGAGGCTGGCACGGGGAAGCAGTCTCGGGCGGAGGCTGGCATGGGGAAGCAGTCTCGGGCGGAGGCTGGCACGGGGAAGCAGTGTCGGGCGGAGGCTGGCACGGGGAAGCAGTCTCGGGCGGAGACTGGCACGGGGAAGCAGTGTCGGGCGGAGACTGGCACGGGGAAGCAGTGTTGGGCAGAGGCTGGCACTGGCAATGAGTCCTGGAGAAAACTTAACTTGGAGAAGCTGAGAGCTGGTATGGAGCGGACTGGAAGCTTGGAGCAGATTTTGGACTGGGGTCTGGCACGGTAGTTAGCCCGTTGAAGCCCCTGCACTGTGCTACTGCACTATAATGTTTATTTATAATTTGTTTATCTGACTGTAATGTTCATCCTTTTAACTATGTCATATTTCTAACTAAAAGTATGAAGCACTGTAAAGCAATGCAACTACTTTTCTTTTCTTTTCCTCTATTTTGTACCTAGGTACTTGTACCTAAGATGTCGCCGTAAGAGGAGACATTGTAAAACTTTTCACTGTACTCCTGTTCTTCTGTGTTTGAGTACACATGACAATAAAGGATATTCTATTCTACATACCCAGCACTCAACTGTTCTCTTTCTCTCTCGGCAGAAAACAAGTGCTCACAGAAAGGAGCAGAGATGCCAGATATTCACAACCTCATCCCGAAGAGGAGGCCACAGAGCTGGCAGCAGAGGTCCATGACTGTGACTGTGCCAATGGGGAGATAAAACTCTCACAGAAAGCCAGTGAGGATGCCTTCAATCTGCTATTGTCAGACACAAAGTGTGAAAGGTTGTTGAGAGCGGAGACTGTGAACATTTGGAAGCTTCTTCTGTCTCTTATCCACTTCAGGTACTTCTGGGCAAAAGATCAAAATGAAGGCCTGACAGTGACCAGTGAAACGTCATCAGAACAGTCACAGGACTCAAAACGTTAACTCTGCTTTCTTCCCACAGATGCTGCCAAGCCTACTGAGTTTCTCCAGCAATTTCTGTCTTTGTTTCAGATCTCCAGCATCCGCAGTTCTTTGTTTTGTTTAATTATCCTTGTTTTTATGTTCAATTCCTTTCATAATAAATGATAAAAGCTATCATTAAATCATTAGATTTCTTGATTATGTGTGCCGACATACTAACTTTAGTTAGCAAATCCCGCTGTACCTTGGAGTTCTTCTGACATTATCGATTTAAGTAATGTTGGTTTTTCAATTTTTCTCCCCTCATCTAGGTCATTTGTAAACTGTAAAATATTGAGGCCCACAGCACAGGGTCCTGCAGGACTCTATCGTTGCATCCCACCAATCAGACAAAAATCCGTTCATGCATGAAGTGTTTTTTGACAGCCAGCCAAACTTCAATCAATGGTAATATGTTGTCTTCAACACCATGAGCTTTAATATTTTGCAATAACCGATAATGTCTCACTTTATCAAATGTGTTCTGGAAATCCAGGTACAGTACAGATACAGGCTGCCCTTTAGCCATAATGCATGTCATTCCTTCAAAGAACTCCAGTCAGTTGGTTAATCATGAATTCCCTTTGATAAAATAAAATTGACTCCTCCCAATTGAGGTTTTTTTGTGTATATGCATCTATAATATTTTTAACGATTGACTCCTACACTTACCCAATGATAGACAATCAAACTCTCTGTTCACCAGTTTCCTGTTTTCTGCCTTGCCTCACTTTCTTAATTAGAGTGGTTATACTTTGCTACTTTCCAGTTTGATGCAAGCTTTTCTGAAAATAGGGAATTTTGGAAAATTAACACAAATGCATCAACTATCTCATTAGTAACTTCTTTTAAGGTTCTAGAATAAATTCCAATAAAACCCAGAGATTTTTCAGCCTGACACTCCATCAATTTGTTTAGTACCACTTCCCTCCTGATTGTAATTACATCAAGTTCCTCTCTCCCTTTCACCTCCTAATTTATAGGTATTACTGGAATGAGTTTTATATCGTTCATGGAAAAGACAGAAGCAAGGGTGGCACGGTGGCTCAGTGGTTAGCACTACTGCTTCACAGTACTAGGGACCTGGGTTTGATTCCACCCTCAGGTGACTGTCTGTGTGGAGTTTGCACATTCTCCCAATGTTTGTGTGGGTTTTCTCCAGGTGCTCCTATGGTCCAAGGAGATCTAATGATGTGTGTGCTAGGTGGATTGGCCATGCTAAATTGCCCATGGTGTTTAGGGATGGGTCTGGGTGGGATGCCCTGAGTGTCAGGGTAGACTTGTTGGGCTAAAGAGCCTGTTTCCACACTGTAGGGATTCTACGAAAATATTTAATCATTTTATCTGCCATTTCTTTGTTATCTACTAGTAACTCTCCATTTTCATTCTCTAGAGGACTAATACCTACTTTACTTGCTCTTTTTTCTTTTTGTCAATGCTTCACAACTTTGTGCGTCTTCCTTGCCTGGGGACCTCTCTAATCTTCACGGTATTGTTCCAATTTTAGTATATGCACTGCTGAAGCAAGCATGCAAATACCTATTGAAACCTTTGCTATCTGTTTTTATAACGCTAGCTAGCTTCCTCTCAAATTCTAATTTCTTCCTCCTGATTGAACTTTTAGTCATCATGTCATTCTTTATATTCTGATCAGTTATCTGACATACAATTCAGCTTTGTTCAGTTCTATACTTTTTTCGTAAGTTTGATGTTTTCCTTAACTTCTTTAATTAACTACAGGTTGTGATGCCTCCCTTTTGTGTGTTTCGTTAAAGTATGAATATACTTATTGTAAGCATTCTGAGATATCCCTTAAGTATCTCCCACTGTATTTCTATTGATCTATCCCTTAGCCTATATGTCAGTTCATTTCAGCTCTCTGAATTTCATTCTGACATAATGCCTTTATTGTGGTTTAAATACCAGACTGGGACCAAATCTTCTCCCTTTCAAACTGGATATAAAACTCAATCAAGTTGTGGTCACTGATACCTAGGAGTGTCTTAATTCTTTGGTCATTAGCTAATCCTGCCATATTACACAATGCCAAACCTAGTAAAACCAGCTCTCTGGTTGGTTCCAGAATGTGCTGCATGAAGAAACAATCTCAAAAACATTCTATGAACTCCTCATCCAGGTTACTACAGCCAATCTGATTTTTCAAGTTTATATGTAGATTAAACTCATGATTAATTACCATCCCTTTATTAGAAGCATTCAATATTTCTTCTTCTATTCCTTGTCCCACATTGTGGTTACTTAGGAGACTGTAGACCATGCTCACTAGTGACTTCTTTCCTCTCCTGTTCCTCATCTTCATCCAAATTGATTTGACACCCTATCCTCCTGAACTGAGGCCACCTCTAAATATCACATAAATGCCATCCCTGATTGACAGTGCTACCCCTCCACTTTTACCTAGCCTCACTGTATCTTGATTCTTATATTCAGGATCCAATCCTTGTCACCCTGAAGTTATGTCTCTGCACTGGCTATCAGAATGTATTTACTTACTTCAATGTACACAATTGATTTGTTTACTTTGTTATGAATGCTGTTTGAATTCAGATACAGAACTTTTAATTTTGTCTTTCTGTTATTTTTGTAACATCTAGTCTTGATTGTTGATGCATTCCCAGTTTTTCTCTCTCTCTCTCTGTCCCTATCCTGCAAGTCTCTGATCTTCATTTCCCTTATTATTATTTTCCTGTCTTACCTTGTGTCTACACTTGATATACTACATCTTTCCATATTTGACTCCTTATTTTCATTGTTTGGTTTAAAAACCTCTTTACTTCCCAGTTATGTGGTTCAGAAGAACACCAGTCCCAGCATGGTTCCAATATATATCATCCCAAAGGTATAGATCACACTTTCTCCAATATTGGTGTCAGTGGCCTATGTACTGGAGCCTATTTCTTCCATACCTGCCTTTGAAACACATAGTCATCTATATAATTTTATGTACCTTAATCCTACTCGCATGCCGCTCAGGTAACAGTTCAGAGCTTATAACCTTGGAAGTTCTCCTTTTCAATTGAGTGTCCAGCTCCCCAGACTCTCTATGCAGAACCTCTTTCAAAGTTTTGTCTCTGTTTTTGGTATCTACCTGGACCACCAGATGCTTCCCTTGTCACTGCAAGTTCCTTTTCAGCTCTGGACAGACGTCCTGAACCTTGGAACCAGACAGGCATCACAGCCTTTTGGATTCATTCTTTGCTGCACAGAATGGTGTCAATTCCCCTCAATATAGTATCACCTCTTAACACTGCATTCGTTGTTATTCCCACCTACTTGAATGGCCTTCTGAACCACGGAGCCATGGTCAGTTTGGACATTCACCCTGCAACCCCCACTCTTATCCAAATCAGCTGAGAGAACCTTGACCTTATTGGACAGTTGCAGAAGCTGACACTCCTGCTTTCTGAGTCCCCTAACTTGCTTTGTTCAAAGTCTGAGTTATAGCAGTTCTCCATTAATCAGAACCCCTCCCATTGTGCCTCCACCACCTAGCAAACCCCAACCACTCTACCGCATCAGTGCGTGTTGCAGTTATGAGGATTTTCTATGATGTTTCTATATGTTCTGATCGATGTTCCCTCTAAGCTGCATGCTTACATGGCTAATGTGAGGGTCTGCACATGCCAATTGGTGAGCCAATGCTGGTCATAGCATTGATTTGTGGTACCATAGTCACTGCCTCGCACAGCCCTTAAATGCTAAAAGTTATTGGGATTGCTGGTTCTGATGGCAAACAAAGAAACCTTCCCTCAACTATATAACCATATACTAGCACCTGGAGAAGGAAGACTAATAGTTGGGGGAAGGAAGTGATGTTATCTTTGCTAAGCAGCAGCAGCTAAAAGATACGCTAATTCCTTACCTTTAATACCATTTTTTCCAATCACACACATATACACACACAGACCCAAGTATAGTCTATCTATTTCTTGCTCTAAGTTTGGTTATTAATAATATTCAAGGATAAACAATATTGCACAATAAAGATAGTAGTGAGATGAAGCCTCAATTATTGCTCATTCGTGGCATTTTTTACAACCAATTTATCACAAGACAGATAATATGGTTCAAAAATTTTAATTAACTATCATGTTTTCATGTCATCAACAACTGACTCTGAAATGGCCCTCAGAATCTTTCTCTTTTCACAGATATCAATTGTATCTTGGTTTCCAAACATTCTGGTTTCTCATGCTGTAATTTACCACATCCCCCCAAAAAAAGCTTTGGAATAAAAATAGAACATGACTACTGTCAGGAATTGCAGTAAAAAAATGGGTGAGTTAATGTTTTGGATTTAGTTCCTTCATCAGCATTATTGCAAAGCAACCCTCTAATAAGACTGAACAACGTGGTTAGGGAAAGAGAACAACAGGGTCTGTCAAAAGTCAGATATGCTGACTAATGTCAGAGTGTGGGATTAACGGATTAAATTATACAACAAACAGGTTTTTCAAAAACAGAAAACAGATTAAAACTGCAGAATAATATAAGAAAATCATTTCAGTGAAGCAATGAGAGATGTGTAGTTTCTCATTGTACCTCTGGAAGATGAGACATTGGCTATAACAGGTATGTAGGTCAATAGATAATATTCAAAAGATTAGGTTTAGAAGACTGCACATATTTGGGATCAGAGATAGGATCATGTAAGTGTGAGCTCTGCGATCATTGTGATGGGCATGAGAAAGCATTGAGGTAATCAACAGGGTGGGGATGAAAGTATGGGTGAGGCTAATGTGAGGAAAAATGAAAAAGCAGAAAAATCTGAAGCAACTGCTTACACAACCAAATAACGACATCAGGTTCTACTCAAGAACTGAGAAGTTGGCTGAGGGTTGCAGACTATGAGCCATGCACCACACATACCTGTGAGTCTTCACTTTTCAGCACTGTCAGCTTAGTAAACTGAATGCTATTTGTGGCTGTAAGTCTTACTCGTTGGTTTGTCTTGTTTGTAAGATGTGGCTATAGAGTTTGCAAACAATATTCTTAGCATATGACCTCACCAGTGGATAACCCAAAATCAAAATACTAAGATATTAAGGCAGCAAGAGACCTAGCAAAATTGAGTTCACTAGGAACTGAGGAAAAGCTGTTCACCAGTTAGAGTCACATCTAAAACAAAAGAAGACTTTTTAAATAAAAATTATTACTTCATGCTCATGAGCATCGCTGGTTAGGCCAGCATTTATTGTCCAGCCCTGACTGCTCTCAAGAAGGACAGTGAGTCATCATCTTGAAGTGTTACAGAAAAGTGGTGTAGTATCACCCACAATGCTGATGGGAGGGAACTCCAGGATTTTGACCCAGCAACAGTGAAGGAATGATGACAATTTCAGGATGGTGAGTGGCTTGGAGGGATCTTGCAGCAGGTGGTATTTCATGTATCATATCCCCTTATCCTTCTCGTTCGTGTTATAGATTTGGAAGGTGGTGTTGAAGTTGGCTTGGCAAGTTCCTTCAGTGCATTTTATAGATGGTGCACACTGCTGCTACTATATATCAGTGGTGAAAGAAGTAAGTGTTTAAGATAGTGGAAGGGGTGCCAATAGTTGTGGTTATGAACACCAAAATGTCTAGGTCCCAAAACATCACTGCAGGGTGCTCCTCAGGGTAATGTCCTAAGCCCATGATTGATGTTTGTGGCCTTAATTTCACTTTCCTGCCTGACCCCATAACCGTTGAACCCCTTGTCGATCAAAATTCTGTCTAATTTAGCCTTGAATATATTCAATGACACTGTACATTGTGGAACGGAATTCCAAAGATTAACAACAACCTGAGCAAAGAAATTCCTCCACATCTCAGTCTTAAACCCCTACAGGCAGTCCCCAGGTAGCGAATGGGCTCCGTTGTTGAGTCCATTTGCAAATCAATTTGTGCACAAGTTGGACCACAATGTAGGATCATGTAAAATAGCCATTTGTAAGAACAGGAAATGCTCATATGTCGGATCTTTAATATTAGACCCCTGTATGGGATTGTGTTCTAAAGTACAATTGTTCGTAAGTTGGACATTTGTAAACTGGGAACTCCCAGTATTATTAAACTATGTCTCTAGTTCTAGTTTTCCCCAGGAAGGAAATATCTTTCCAACACTGACCCTATCAACTCACCTCAAAATGTTATATGTTTCAAGAAGACCAACTCTCATTCTTCTAAATGGAGCAGAGAAGCAATCCGCTCAAACTTTCCTCATAAACAACTCCTTCATCCAAGATTAATCTAGTGAACCTTCTCCAAACTGCTTCCAAAATTCCTTCATAAGTAAGGAGGCAATAATCTTCAATTCGTCAGGATGCGGTTAATGTAGCAAGACCTCCTTACTTTTATACACCCTGCAATAAAGACCAACTTTTGATTTGGCTTCTTAATTATTAGGTGCATGCTAACCCTTTGTGACAGATCTCTGTACTGTAGCATTCTTTAGTCTCTCATCACTTAAATAATATTATGTATTTTATTCTTTTTGCCAAAAGGCAGCCTCACATTTTACTCTATCTGC